ATTGATTCGTTAACTTCAGAGTCCCATTTCCATTCATTACATGGGGGAGGGGGGGAAGAGAATGTAGGCAAAAATCGGGTCTCGTCTGCTTTGCCCATGTATAGTATACACTACGCCAACATCACAGATGTAGTTGACATAGTAGGTGGTGCTTCTTTTGGTGACATAGTGCATCATAAATACTTTTCAGGGAAAAAGTGTGGATAAACAGAAAGTACTATTTTTAGTTCCAGTTTTTACTGACATTTCTTGTTGAAGCCTTTGGAGATAGGGAAATGTTTAAGGAAGAGTAGAGAACCATGATACAAATAAAATTTCTTCAGTTTATTCTTGCATGTTCAGTGGAACACAAGAACTCTATGGCAATATTCATAGCAAAACATTCTATACATAGTTGTATTAACAAAAACACTGAAACTCTTTATTTGTAAGAAAAAACATATTAGTGATCTTTCAAAGAGTAATTTCAAGTATATAATTTTCACAGAAACATTCATTTGCAATATATAACGATAACGAATGTTCTGGACTGTCAACTTGATTTAGTCAAAACTACACTGCAGCACTGGACTTTCTGCTTGACTTAGTGAATTTACTGAATTCTTAGCATCTCATATACAACAGTATGGCTCTAAAGGAAAAGGAAATTATTTACCATTGACAATATGTTACACTGTATTATTTTAGTTTCTAACTAGTTATTTTATGTTAAACCAATTTCTTATTCTCCTTATCTCCATTTTCCTGTCAGAATGTAAATTCCTAGTTTGTGGCATATCCGACTATTTCCAAATTGGTGTGAAGCTTGAAGATGTCCCTAAAACCACATTCATTATGAAATTTGGCATTTACACTTTACTGGGAATGCTATTTGGCTTATGCGGAGCATCCACCACTTTCCAACATGTTACAGATACAATATTATGACTAATCCTTGGGAATAATATATTTATCTACTTAGACAGTATCATAGTTATGAGTGAAAAAAAATCAGCAATCATATTAAAAGACTTACATTAAGTACTTCAGCTTTTAAATGAAGCTGTACTAAAAAATTAATGCCACCAAATGTAAGTTTGTTGCCATAGAACTTCATTATGTAAGATATGATATATTCAAGAAAAGAATTGAAAACCTTAAATTAACAGCTATCAAAAACTATCCTCTGCCAAATACTGCAAAGAAAGCATCTTCATTCTTAGGCATGTGTTCATATTATAGGACTTCCATTAAAGACTTTGCTAAAATAACTGAGGCCTTCTTACAATTAAATTGGAAAACATCCCGTTTTACTTGGCCAGTCGAGGCCAATATGGCATTTGAAAAACTAGAACAAGCTTTAATGCAAGCACTCTTGTTAAAGTTTCCTGAAGGCAATGAAAGTTTAAAAATTGCTGTAAATGCCTCTGATTATGCAGATATGATTATTATTGTAATGTACATTTCTAGCTTGCATAGTATTCAAATGAGTCAGAAAGAACAGAGTATTTAAAGAAAGAATTTAGAGAGAATTGAGCATGTTTTCCCTGCTGAAGGCCACATTGTTAAACTGATTTCCAGGTGACCAGTATTCTGCAGTGTTGCTTCATTCTTGCCATTGGTCTTGTTATCTTGACCTTAGGTCAGAGCCCGCTTGCATTAATTTGATTGTGGAGACATCAGGCTAACTTATTTTCCTTAGTTAATCCACTATCTTTGATTTAAGCTATAACTGTTGGCTTTTGTTAGCAGGAGTGGTGCCATCTGTTAACTTTTATTTGAGTCAAATAAAAGGGTGGTTTACCCCCTTTTCTTTTCTCTATGGCACTTAAAAGACATACTATAATATAATTCACTCTATGTTTTTATTTCATACATGGTATGTTAGCAAAGAAGACGAAATGTCACAATGTGATGAATTAATTGAAATTATTCATAAAATGATGATGAAAAATTGAAATCAAGGAATCAAAATATTATGAAATGACTGTTGATTCCAAACTTGATAAACTTGATATAACACATGTTGATTTAGTTGGAAGTGCTTAAAGTTGTCTACAAGATATATTATATTTCAATTTAGTAGAAAGAATTTGTTCTTTTCCAGCACTGGCTTGCCACTGAAATTATTTGGAATTAAATTTGATTAAAATGAGGTACATTTCACTTTTAAGAGAATATGTGAGTGGTCATGCCCGGCAATTGTAATAAAAGCAATAGGAAATGGACGTAATGAAATCATGAAGCATCTCACTTCGATGCATTCAAGATCAATGACACAATCACAAAACCTTTCTATTCAAATCAAAGCAAAACATACTACGAAAAAAACTGCACTTCTAAAGTCGTTTATTCAGGACAAAGTACTGACAAAAATTAATACATCCAACAAATCTATACCAAATCCTAGCAATAATTCGACAACTTGTAGAAGTTGCCAGGGCTATATGGTTGGTGCGGCAAAAGATCCCATTTGAGTGTATGCAGTCCAGCCAGTGAATACAGACACATGCAGCCTTGCATTAATCTTGACAGAACATTATCTTTCTGCACCGGAACTCAGTTCAACATTTTTCCTTGATGGCAGTGTCAACATGGACTAGCATCTCGCTGGACACTTTACTGTATGAGGGTTTTTTTATGTTTTACTCTTTGTGGATAACATTATGGCTATCCCACCAGACACAAATCATGATCTTTTTCTTAGTCAAACTGTGCTTTGCAATGCTGCCGATGGGCTCTCCAGTTGCAGACCAATCCCCTTTCTGGCTGGTGTTGTTGAAAAAAAGCCACTTTTCATCACAAGTGATGATCTGGTCCAGAATTTTGCCCTTGTGTTGATATTATAGCAGATAAGAGAAGGCCCAAACAGTCTGTCCTTATCTGCTTGAGTCAGCTCCTGTAGCACCCAGCAATCGAATTTGCGCATCAAGTGCGATGCATAGCGCGACTTATGACATGGCACTAATGTCTAACTCCTTAGCAAGTTCTTGAGTGGTTGCATACTGATCTTCTTCCACAAGTTCTCCCAGTCGGCACTCATCAACATCAGTAGGCTGGCCAGAGCACTCTGCTTCTTGATTGTTATAGTCCTTGTTTTTGAATTTTCAGTATCAAACCTTCATAGTATCATCTGATACAACAATATGATATTTAGTACCTAAAGCTGTACACATGATTTGATGATATTCTGTAGTTGACTTTTTGTAACAGAACTGGAAGTAAATGATGGTTCTAATCTGGAATGTGATAGTTCCATTTCAGATACCTCATTGATAATATTTCTATACTAATTTCATAATACAGCGTTCTAAGCCATGTCTCTTTCTTTCAAAAGCCACAAATCATTCGGAAAAATATGATTTAACATGCCAACTGCTTGCGCACACGATATTTGGGGTGGTGGGAAACTTTTGATTAAAACCCGATAGAAACCAAACAGATGACTGGTCAAGATTTTAAAATAAATACAATCTATGTCATTTGTTACAAAATTTGCAGCAAAACTGATATGAAATGCAAAAATTATAGACACATTGAAAAATATGTTAAATATATTTTGCAGATTTAAAGAACGCATTGAATTACACAAGTGAAATAAAAGAGGGTTTAATACTGATATTGAAGTTTAATTTGTCATTAGATGATGAGCTGACACAATTTATTTTAATAAAAGGAAAACAAAACTTGCAAATCCCAAACAATTTAGAACAGCTCACAAACTTAAAAAAAGAAAGACTTTAGATTATATATTATGCCCAAATGGGCCCTTTTTTTAATGTTTTGTGTGTTACTTTTATTTATTAAATATCATGTTGTTCGCACCTAAATCACACAACATTCAGTTCAACAGCAATATCACAAAGGAACAAGGAAAATTCATATGTATGGAACTTTTCTTTTATTTTTATTTCCTGATGCATAATATGAACTTTTTCTTTAAAAATTTCATGTCTAAAATTTGGGTGTATCTTATACATAAGTGGCAGCCGTGGCAACAGAAACGTCAATGGTGGCATTGCAGCAAACGAAAATAGAGGTGAAAGACTGCTGATAATGCATGTGCAACATGCATTTAGGTAGTTAAGGATTTCAATTACCTGTTCATTTAAACCTCTGAGCGGTATGACCGGGTTTATCCGGTCATGAGATTTTTTGTTCCTTTATACATATTAGCCTTTAACTTGAGATATTTTGCTTTCTTACTTTCTTTACTAATGTAAATGTATCTTAATGAATGTAAGTTTATGAGAATAGAGGCTAAAATAAGTTATTATATAAATTTAGCTAATAAATGCTGCATAAATACAGGTCTTCATGACAGATTCCAAAACCTGTTCTGCTCAGAGGGTTAAAAAACCAAAATGACTGAAATTCCATTTAAGATTCACAGCAATTTCTCCTCCTTTCCTGTTCATTAATGAACAAAGAGGGGTGAAGGTTTAAAGTGATATCATTTCTAGATCCTGCTAAGTAATTGCCCCTTGAATGTATAATAAGTTACATTTAACGTTAAGATAAAGACCACAACAAAATGCTTTTAGACCAAAACCATCTACAACAAATATCAACTGATACAATGCATTTGAGGAACCTGCACTTCAAGCTACTATGTACTTTAGGCCTGCCTTTATCGATGTGTACATGGACAAAGTGAAGGGAGTGAGCAATGCTGAGTTTGTGCAATTTTTTTATGTGAAAATAGGTCGATGTGTACATGGATACTGAGTTTGTGCAATTCTTTGACTTGTTATTTTCAAGTTGGCGATTTTAGAAAACATGTCAAGTAGTGGGTGATTCTTCCCCTTCCTCATAAAAAATAGTCCATCAACCAAATATTTATTTATTTCTTTGTTCATTTATTTATTCATTATTATTATTATCTTTTTTTTTTTTTTTTTTTTTCAATTTTCGACTCCCAAAATCAAGCTGTGTCTTATACAAAAGGAAATACAGTAAATATATTTTAAAATCTAATAAACTTTTACAAACATCTAATACATACAGAATCTACTTATTACCTCCATTGGCTGAAACACCAGGGTTATTTTGGCTCTTGGATTTACTTGTAGATGAATAGGAATCACCATTGGATTTTGGCCTGTTTCTCCTTCGACGACGAAGTAATCTAAAATAATCAAATTTATACTTTACATATGATGTTACTATTAGATTTTAAGAGATAAGTTACATGACTATTTTATATAAAACTAACTAAAAAGAAAGACTTATTTGCATTACAGGAATACCTTTATAAGTACAGTATAATTACCTAGCAACAAATCCTAATAAGGTTATACCAACAGTAACTGAAATAAAAGTAATTTTTGCATGCATTGACACAGAAACAAGCTTGGCAGGCTGTCGAAAATCCATTATTGCATCTGCAAGAAAGAAAATAATTTATATTCATATTATAATAACTTACACATACGGGAGATTAAAAAAAAATGTAAATTTAAATCAACTGTACATAAATACCAAAACACTATCTGGTCTAACAGGATCTGACCAGTCTGCCTATGAAAGTTATTAAGAGCTTTCAGATGCAGACTGGTTCCTATTAACTATATGCTTGGTGATAAATACAAAAATTCCCTTAAAAATCAACCTGTTCTGCAGACAGTTACATCCTAGATAAAACTCCCAGCATTCTGTAACTTTACTCACAGTAGGCTTAAAGACAAAATTTTATATTTGCAAACAATTAGAGAGCGTACTTCAGGTAACAACTTCAGTATCAAATTTATATTTCTAATATATAAGACAGCATAAAAGTTAACTCCATGACATGCCAATAAAATACACGTCGATGCATCCAAAGAATACCATTTAATTTGGCTCTATTGTGGACACCCATGTGCCAGCTCAGAAACAGAACATTTTATTTTCAAATTCACATTGCTATATAACAATAATAATACACTGCATGGCATTGGCCAAAGCCAGTACTTGACATCTCAGAGACATCAAAGTCTACAATGACACATGAATTGAATGATGTCATTTTATGTCAAGGGATTAAGTTAAGACTTAAAAGAACTATTTCAATAAAGTTACGGGTGACGTACAGAATCACCCAATTATTTGCCATGTTTCGTTTGGCGCTTTTTGCAAGAGTAAGAAGAACTAGATTTTTGTCAATATCTTTTGACTTTTTAAGTGAAAACAGATCAATGTGTACATGAACAAAGTCAAGGGGAAAGTGCAATGCCGAGATTGAGCAAGTCTCTGATGTTTTTTCAAGTGAAAATAGGTCAATGTGTACATGGATACGGAGTTTGTGCAATTCTTAAAAACGCACCAAGCAGTGGGTGATTCTTCTTCACTTTCCCCAATATTACAATACAGTAGACTAATATTTATTAATTAAACTAAGAAATAATCAGCTATTTCATCCTGTGTCCTTTATGAGAATTTTAAAAACAAAGACTGACTTTTTATAAATTACTTACATAAAAACTGTACGGTCTTGGCACGATTTTGAAAATTGTCACCACCATCAAAATGACCCGTTCCCTGCTCATCATCAATGTCGTATTTACTGCTCATAATAATGTCGCCAAACCCTGTATACTAGGATTAAACCAAAAAAATGAATCATTTAATATGGCAAGATCATTTTGATTTTCCTCCGATTTTTTACAATCTTACCAGAACATAATATGCATGGTGAAAGTGCAGAATCGGCCACTGCTTAGCATGTTTTTGAGAATTGCACATACGCAGTATCCATGTACACGTCAACCTATTTTCACTTAAAAAAACATCCCAGAATAGCCAAAAATGGCATTGCGCACACTCTTGACTTTATCCATGTACACATCGATCTATTTTCTTTTAAAAAGTCAAAGAAAATTGACAAAAATCCAATTCTTCTTATTCTTGTAAAAAATGCCATACAAATAAGTGGCTGATTCCGCACGTTAGATACATGCATTACTGCATTTATTAATCTTTATACCCAAGAAACATTTTTTCCTTATAATTAATCTCTTGGCGAGCCGCACATCACTGAATAAGATTAAACGTTTGCGCTGATACCCACATGTATAAGCCCTATAATATTTTTCACAGCGTTTATATTTAGCGGGTTCTTTGCGAGAATAGAATCAAATATCTGTTTACAAAAAAACGGGATCAATTATCAAAAAAAAGGGAAGCATTTAAATTTCATCATAGAACATATTTCACATAAAATGTCCAAAACAAACTGTACCATCAAATTATCCTTCTCTATTGATATTATAATGAACATACTAACAGTTTTCAAAGTAAAATCAGATAAACCCATTAATTCACAAGGACGAATGTTCAAAATTTGTTTGTTTTCATTCCAGCATGGGGGTTTCACAGTTCACGGTTAGACAGCACGTTAATATCATGGATTTTTTTTTTATCACCTTAATATTCTGGTAGCTTTCTTCCTGGAAAATTAATTTCATAACCAGCATGAAATAAATACATAATTATCATCAAAACCCTAACTTACTAGAACAAACTATTTTTTTTACACTCTTTTTCCAATTTTAAAGTTCCAAAAAAGGTTCAAAATGTTATGTCTAATTAAATGTTAAGTTCATATTCAATACATAATTCTAATTTTACTATGTATAATGCTTTTTTTCAAATTAACTCGTTTTTCTGATATCGTTAATAATTATGAAAAAGGGATTTCAACATGTTACTACGAAATGCTTCTAATATATAAAATTTTTTCAAATCAGAGACCGATTTTCATAATATCAGAGGATATATTTCTATAGTTAATTTCTATTCTGCCAATTTTATTCAGTTGTTTAATTTTGCTTTCTAAAAATCAATTCAGCTTTTCCTGAATTTAAAAAAAAAAAAAAAAAAAAAAAAAAAAAAATAGAGAGAGGAATAGAGGGAGGGTGGAAGAATTGTTAGGTTGCGCGCTCTGGTGGCTGTTCGGAAAAGCAATCTTGCCTTGTGTATGTTGATATCTAAGAGATGTATACATACAGGAATCCATTCGTAGGTTTGGGAAGTCTTCGTTTCCTGTGGAGATTGGCAGACGCTGAATGACAGGTAAAGTGGTTGTGTCAGTGAGAGGCGTTGTGAGTGGACGGCGAGTAATCGGAAAGTGTCTTATTGCAAGTCTTAGAAATTTTTATGGTAAAATTTGTAACCTTTAGGAATAAATCTCAGTATGTGAACAAAAGAAATAAAAAAGTGTGCTATTTTATTATGATGGTAGTACATTTAGACGAATGTTAAAATGAGCGCGAAGGAGTTTCTAAAGTTTTTTTGTGCATCAAACTCAGGTAAGTGAATTTATAACGAAATCTAAATTGATAATTACATATGTTTGGTGTTTTTTAACTTAGGAAGTTAGTCAAGATTTTTTGTTTGTTTGTTTATTAGAGTTTTTAACCAGAACCTTTATGAAAAATTTGAAATTTTAAGTTGCGCAGGACGTTCAATATCCGAAGTAAACCAGGTGTTCTTAAAACTTTTTGTCTATATTTATTCTTTTTCGCTTTGCAACTACATTTGAACTTTTCCCATTTATATTTAATTCGCCGAAAGAAAACTCGAATTCTATGTTTATTGTTAATTTAATAAGATCTGTTGAGAATCTGATGTTTCAAGAACATAAATAATGAAATCGTAGATAATCTATTTAAATTGGATTGAAGCTTACGCAGTGCTGCTTTATATTTTGATATTATGGTAAAAGTTTACAATTGGGTGCCCCTTGTTTTTTGGCGATTCTTTTTTGACGCGATATAATAAATGTACTTTAATTAATAAGTGTTTCATTGACTTTCATTTTTCTCCTTTTTAATATCCTATTTCATATTTATAGAAACAGCATTCAATTTCTAAAGAATAGCATGATTAATAATTTCTGGGTGAAGAGATGAGTTTTTAAGGTTGCATTAGTTGAATATCGTATTATTATAATTGCAAACTGTATGATAAATGTGTGATAATCGATATGCTGACATTTAAAGTGAAGTATTTCAAATAATATTCAATTTTTTTCAATAAGAAATCAGTATATCAGGAAGCAGTGTGCTCTGTTATTACTGTAATTTGTAAATTATGTATAAAATTATCACTATTGTTTATTTTGAATGAGAAAAATTGCACTGAGAATAATATTTGGAGGTGAGGAATTGTTTCAGCATATATTAATAGAATTAATTTGTATTGGTAATAAATCTGGCTAATCATGTATTTTAGGCATTTCTAAAAGCTGTCTAAATGTAGGGTCTTAAATTTTCATTTGTATTTTCTATAAAAATCGCATTCCAAGCAGGTATAGCTAGTTATCCTCACAAGTTTATTTACCTACTTGAATTTATGTATTTTGAAATTGATTTTATTCATATATACATTTTTTTAATATAAAACTTAAATATCTGAATTCTTCACAAAATATTGGTCAGTGTGATGTGATATATATTTGTGTACATGTTTGTGTAATGTTTTGTGCAGTAAAAATATGTATTTCATGAAAGTACTTTTAACTCCACAGCTCACAGTTTTGATGCCTCGAAATTAATTTGAATTATATATATGTAATAAAATGTATTTTAGATTTAAAACTGTAAACCGACCCTATATAAATGCAAGAGATGCATGCAATAATAATTTTCAGATTTCTCTCTTTTGCTCATTCTTTCACATTAGACATTCTGAATTATGTAGTTTTCTTCCTTTTACATCTTAGGAGTCCCTGCACATTCAAGACAAACTATCCAGGTGTGATTGTGGTTTGGATGTAGCTGGAATCCTGGATTTTTTTTTTTTTTTTCTGAAATCCAGAATTACTAGATCTATGAAATGTAGACTCGTTATCTTTTTCAAATTTAATTTTAGAACAGTTATGTCAATTAGAAATAATAAAAAGTTTAATTTTTAGGCTTTATAGAGTTCACCGCTTGCATAAAGATCAACAAGAGATGAAGCTTCTTGAAACTGAGTTTGCTGCGATAACAAACTGGTAAACTGAGATAGAAATTTTCGTATGCAGAAAAATAATTTTTATACTTCGTATTATAGAGAAATGGGAAGAATTTTGAAATACAATTGGGTGCCCCTTGTTTATTGGCGATTCTTTTTTTGACGCCAAGATCGGTGCCAGGAAGGCACAATTTCAAGATGGGCATTACACAAAACCAAAATAAGAAGTCAAAGAATTGCACAAACTCTTGTCCATGTACACGTCGATCTGTTTTCACTTGAAAAAATCATTCCAGAATTGCACAAACTAGGCATTGCGCACTGCCTTAGATTTGTCCATGTACACATCAGTCTATTTTCATTTTAAAAAAATCAGGAAGTTAAAACTATTATGGTAACCAGAAATGAGGTTTTATCGCCAAAATTGTCTCTAATCGAAGGGGCACTCAGTTCTACACTAGAGCCAAAATTTTGAAGTTTTGGTGTCAGTAAGAATAAATTTTGAAGTTTTGGTGCGAATCAAAATAAAAGAAGATGCAAAGCAGAAATATTCACTGTTAACAAAACTGGTTAAATCTGTTTTAACTTACTTTCCTGGATCCATTGTTGAAAGTTCATTTATTTATATAGGTAATAGTCTGACAGAACATCCTTGATTATTGATTCTCATTACACGACAATACAATTGCAGCTTTTGGGTTAGAAAATTGTACCGAGGACTCTATTGGTAAAGATATGAGAGGTAATTTATTGATTTACATTTGGTTGCCAAAATTCTTTACATTCCATGAATTATTCTCTTCTTTCTAGCAGGCTCTGATCTCCAAGACTTGTTAATATGCATACTTCAAGCTCTAATCTAATACTTATAGGGTTAAGCAGAAATCTATTGTCTATGTCAAATTTTCATAATGAGTGAAACTTCAGTTGTTTGCAAAGAAAATTATAAATGCAGCAGTTCCCAGAAAGTGAACTCTTCTGTTATGAAAACTAAAAAAGACCTAAACACTTATTATTATTATTTTTTAATGTTAAAAGACCAAAATAAGTAGTGAAACATGTAAAATGATGTAGTGAATCATCAGTTATTTTTAATCAATTTTTAAAAAAGTATACTCTTTATATCATTATTGAAATTATTTGAAAAGATTTGTACATATGCATGTTTATGTTTCGCATAAAAATGTAAATATGTCCAATTTTTACTCTATAATAGATTTCTTGGATTTTTGAAAGGAAGTTGCAACTTACATATCTGGGGGGGATATAGTATTGTTGGTAGAGATGACAGTAACATTATACTTATTTACCATAGATAAAACCTATATATTTGTAAAAATAATAATTAAATTATAGCAGTTAGTTTTTGTAAATTCTCTAGTGTTCATTATATTGGTAACATTTGTAGGATGACAGAAACCTTTGCTAGTACCTATTTTATAGAGTCTAAAACCACTATTTTACCCATAAACTCATCTTGAATGTTTCTCTTCTTACTTCCAAAATGCATTAGGAATATTTTATTTTCTAACAATTAAATTTTATTAATAGTTTTCTGCTTACTCAAGCTGCTATTATCATTTTCATTGTTTAGATATGTAGATGAAGTTAAGGCTTCAAAATGTGTCAAATTAAATCATTATAGTTGGGGGCAAAACTAACAACAAGAACATTAAGGTAGCTAGAATGGTCGATCTGCTCCTTTTTATCTATCTATTTGCATTGAATTCATATTGTTTTAGAAACTGTGATATTAAATTTAGTTTATTTATGACTTTTTTAATGCTTTAAGATCACGAGTGTTTTTTCCAGGTATGTAAATGGATGACAGCATATTTAATCTACATGCTGTAGTAGTGCTTATTTATATATTTTGATTCATTTTTGGTTCTTTCCAATTGAATATGTACTACTTGGTGCTTTTTTGTTTTTGCATATTTTCTCAGAATGAAGTGTCATCAGTTTAGCATAGCTGCTTTCTTGGTGATTATAACCATCATTTGACCAACTTTGTTTTTCATTTACTCTTTTTTCTTTTTCCCCTTCCCATTTGCTATAGATTTTATGACTTGGGATTTGCCAAGAGATGAAAGAGTGGCTATCCTGTTTCTTCAGAAAAGATATATTCCTCACAAAGAAAAATTACATTCAAAAATTAAAAAAAAAAAAAAATTAGCATTTGCCTTACAAATCCTTCTGTAGTGTTACGTTACAATAACTGGAGCAATAAAGTAGACCTCTACAAAGTTGGCAATGTTTTTGTGAACAAACAAACAAACAAACAAACAAAAAAAAAAAAAAAAAAAAAAAGAAGCCTAATCTGCCAGGACAAGTATATGACTAATTTCTAATTTGGTTTAAATACCAATTTCATTAATATATTTTTTTCACAAAAATCTGTTCAGAGCAAAGGGCCAC